ACCCCGAGATGAGTCCTTTATTTTCTAAGTGGTACCCTAAAAACCAGCTCAGGGCCCTTCCAGTAAACGTTTTGCGTCAGAATTTTCGCTCCATGAGGGACAATATACATTGGAATAGTGTGGTTTCAACCTCGATGAATGACTAGAATATTGGCTCTGAACAAAATCGTGTTTCCAAGCCCTAAACACTGCACTGGATGCCTTTAACTGCTTATAAACACTGCCTTGTCTCTAAAGTGCCTGGCAGTAATTTTGTAATTATGAAGAGGATTAATATCGTGCTGAGATGCTGATAACTCCGGCTGCTCGGCAGAAAGCGGTGATTAGCCGGCCTCCCAGGCGCGCGGTGGGGGACAGCCCGCCAGTCTTACCTCCTCTATAATGGATGACATTCGTGTGCGGAAGATCCTCCCCTTAAGACTCATCGTGACAGGTGGATATGAACAGAAGTGCGCCAGTTACCGCCGTGACTTTACCCCCTGTGGAAATAACCACGGGCAGAGTTTCTTAGGGTGGCTTCATTTCATCTTAATTAGAAAGCCAAACGAATTGGAGAGTGGAACTGCTAGCTAGTAGAGACTTTATAGTTGCTATACTTCACCTATGCTCATAAGATTGTCTTTTTGTATCTTAAAGTCAATCTTATATTGTAAATTTAGATGGAGATATCATCCATGGTAGGATGTAAGGACAATCAAGGAGACACAGAGGAGAGAGGAATTGTCAACAAATATGGCCATACAAGGCATTGATGTACTGGGAATACAGGAACACCGCATTGTGCATGAGGATGAAGTCCGGTATGAAAGCATACATGGTAACACCCTAATAACTACGACAGCAAGTAGAAACCTGGCTGGTGCAGCAGTTGGCGGGGTGGGGATATTGCTGAGCACGAAAGCTTTCAACTCACTGGCAAAGGTGACTCCATTCAACGGGCGAATACTGATTGTAAGCTTCCAGGGAAATCCAGTAACGACCATAATAGTTACATACTGCCCTACCAACGTAGCAGATGAAGACATCATAAGTGAGCACTACGATAGTCTCAGGAGGGCAATACAGTCAGTCCCAGCACACAATCTCCTGATGGTTGTGGGAGACTTTAACGCCAGGCTAGGAGATGAAGAGGCAAGGTACACACTACACAGTGAAACTAATAGAAATGGCAGGATGCTATTAGAGCTGACCAGCGAGCAAAACCTGATTATCTGTAACACAAGATTTCAGAAGAAAGCGGGGAAACTGTGGACCTACATGAGCCCGGGAGGAAATAGGTACCAACTAGACTACATTCTGATTCGTAGGAAGTGGCAAAACAGTATGCTAAACGCAGAGGCGTACAGCACTTTTGCGAGCGTAGGCTCTGACCACAGGATTGTTTCAGCTCGAGTAAGGCTCAGTCTGAGAAAGAAGAAGGCTGAACCAAGGAAGAAACGGTATGACTGGGGAGCCCTCAGAGTGAGCACAGACCTTCAGGAGTGCTATGCCATAGAAGTATGCAACAGATTCCAACCCTTGTACGAAGAAGGTGAAACCGCGACAGAGAGGTATGAGAGGTTTATAACAGCAAATGAGGAAGCAGCAGAGGAAGTGATCCCTGTCAAGAAAAGAGAAAAGAGAGCAGAATACTCCAGTGATCCACGAGTGACACAGGCCAGGGATGAGGTCAACAAAACGTACGAAATATTCTTACAAAATGGACATGAAAAGAACAAGGCAAGAACTCAAACAAGCCCGAAGACG